CAATCATACAATTTTATTAATTTAAATAATTCTAATTTTAAAAATGCGAATTTCAATAAAGAATCACTAATCGAAGTAATTTATTTATTTTTTATTTTTTTTTTGAAATATATATATGTAATTAACGTGACGGTGTAATCACGTGACGGTTTGTATATAAACAAATAGTAATAGGGGATTCCCACAAAATGTAGTATAATTCGGCCATTTGTTTTTTTATGTCGTTGAATATATGTAGTTGAGGTTTTATATTTGTAGGCAGTATTAATTTCTTATCACAAAGAAATAAATGATTACGAAAGGGGGAAAAAAAAAAGAGAAGATGAGGAAAGGGAGGAAGCAGAATCGACAGGATTTTTTTATTGTACTTTATGCTGCGACGATAAATTAATTTTTTCACTGATTACGATTTGTCCCGATGGATTAATAATTTGTAAAAATTGTTTTTATAAGTGAGTTTAACGAATAAAAATTTTTTTTTTTTTTTTTAAGGTGTCATAATGAAATTTACGTTTATGTTAAAACAAAAAATTTTTTTTTTTTTAATTTTTTTTTTTTTCAGTTATATAAATATTAAAATCGGTGATGGTGCTAATAAATTTTATTGTCCTTGCGGATCAGATACAATTTTACCGGATGATTTGATTAAAAATTATTTATGTAAAAGAATATTTAAAAAGTTATTATTGAAAAGGCAAGCAGAAGAAATTAAAAAAGCTCAAATCAACGGATTGGAATCTTGTTTATTTTGTCATTTTTCATACATACCTAATCCAGATGATAAAGTTTTTATATGTCAGAACGAGGAATGTTTAAAAGAAATTTGCAGGTATGTATGTATAATTATTGGTGTTCACTGTTTTAGTTATTTCACTGTAGGTCAAAATGTAAAAAGTTGTAATACAGAATTTATTTTTTTTTAGAAACTGTCATGAAGAAAATCACATACCATTGAAATGTGAAGAAGTTATCAGGGAAAAAGATATTGAAGCGAGAAAAAAAATCGAAGAAGAAATGACAAAAAAATTATTAAGGACATGTCCAAATTGTGGCCAAAAATTTATTAAAATAGATGGTTGTAACAAAATTACTTGCACATGTGGAACATTGGCTTGCTACATATGCCAAAAACAAATACAAGATTATACTCATTTTTCTGATAGAGGTGGGATAGGGTAAATATCCAATGAAATTTATATTGATTTGTAAATAATAAAATGTTTTTTCATTTTCGAAAAAAAAAAAAAAAACTTAACTAATGAAAAATTATTTACAATTTTGAATTGTATTTAATATAATTTGATTTTTAAAAAAAATTTTTTTTTACTTTATTCATATTAGGAAATGTCCACTTTATTCGAATAATCGAGACCTTCATGAAACAGCAGTTATTCAAGCAGGTATTACAATCAGAGATGAAATTTTGAAAGAAGATCCAACAATACATCTTCCATATGATCCAACAGAATAAAAGTATTATTATTTTAATTTTAAATAATACTTTCAATCTTTTTTTGTGTTCTTAATAATTTTTTGTCATCTTCCATGCAAAAACTATGAGTTGGTGTAAAAAAAAACTTTGGATTTTAATATTTTGATGTTTATTAATATGATTTTATTAAAATGTTTTTTAATTGATATTTATTTATCTTACAGTGGCAAAAACATGTGTGAATGAATATATATATATATATATGTTTTATTTTATCAGATATATATACATATCATAATATTATTTTTAAAATTTTGTTACGAAAACATTTTGTAGTATTTTTTATTTAAGTTTATTTTTATTTTATATTAACTTGTTTACATGTTTGTTTTATGTATTTTTAATTCATTATGTTAAATGTATTGAAGAATGTAATGTTTTTATAAAGATTTTTTAATTTTTTTATTATTATTGATAATTTTAATACAAAAAAAAAAAAAATTCAAAAGTTTATATTGATTTATTAACTATACTTGTTTTCACTAATAGTAATGAAGTTAAATTTTCTAAATTTTCTTTTAAATATAACTAAAAATAATTTCATTTTCAATAAAACTCTAAAATATTTTTTAATTTAAATTTAATAAATATAAATATTTAAAAATCATTCAAATATAAATTTACACGTGAAAGATTTAATAGCAGCCACATTTTACATCGAGTTTTTATTTATTATAAATTGTTTAAATTAAAACAACAAATTAATTATTATATTCATAACCAAAAAAATTTGATTAAAAACAAAAAGGAAAAATTATTTTTAAATTCGATTTTTCTACAATAAGAGTTAAATATTTAAAATGTTTAATTTTGTTTACAATAATATCTCGAAATCGTTAGAATCTGATTCGAGTTTTTTTGTTTTTAATGTTGGCAATACGAAACCACAGTATTGTTTTTATATATTCTAAGTTTATCAGAAAATAAGTTGTAAATGTTAAAATTTTACATTTTTCTTTAATTTAATAGTGTTTTAATTTGTGCGAGTTATCGATTTTAAAGTTTTTTTTTATTATCGATTATTAATTTCGGTCGTTAAAAACTTTAATTTGTTCATTGGAATACCTAAAACAAAACCTTTTAAGGAGTTATTTACAAGACTTATACACAGGTATTTTTTTTTTTTTTTTAATTAATGACGTTTTTTCTACGCTGTGAAATATACGCGTAAAACTTTTATTTATTGTCATAATTTAATTAATTAATTCATTTAATTTAGTTATCGTTAATATTAAACCTTAAAAAAAAATTGCTTGCTTGCCATTTTTTTTTTTTCTGAAAACGATATATTTGTTTTGATGCTTATGACTTGTATAATAAAACAACAATTTCAATTTATTTCGATTTTGATAATTAAATTTTTCATTTGAGGTTTTTATTTAACAGAATTTAATATTTTTTTTTTTTTAAATAACTTTTCACACATTGTGAGTAATTGCCAGCGAAAAGCATTTGTAATTTTATACCAATTTTTATTCATATTTATTATTAATAATAATAATGCACATTTTGTTACACACACATTAAATACTTTTATTTAATTCAATTAAGCTGTTAACAAATAGTAATATTTAGTTTCAGTTGTATTATGTTTTAATATTACTCATAAAGTAAATTGAATTTTTTTTTCGTTTCAAGTTTAAATCTCATTTTAAGTTTTAAACAATTCATTCGTGTAGTTAAATGATGCTTAATACAGTATCTGTCGTTTTTCATTTAATAGCAAAATTCGAGAAACTTTTGTTTTATATATATTATTTTCAAAATTAAGATTTTTTTGTCGAAAAAAGAAATCTCATAATAAACTTTTTGCAAAATACAAATAAATTAATTTAACAAATTAGGTTTGAATCATTTATTATTATTATCGGTGATGTGATAGAGTAAAATACAAATTTTTTCCTTTGTTCACCCTATTAATAATTAATTTTTTTTAATCGAGATCATTTATTTAAACTTTAACCAAATTTTATTTGAAATTTTTTTTTTTTTGTTTAGTTCTTCAATGCTATTGTGTAAATTTGGTAAATATCCTAATTTGATGATCACATGTAAATTAGGTTAATGTTATTTCCCTTAAAATCTTTTTTAATTTAAAGCGCAAGAAATTTTTAAGGTTAACAACGAAGTAACTTTTTTTTCTCGAGTGAAATTTAAAATTTCACACATCATAAAAATTTATAAATATTACAAAAATTTTAAATTAATCATTGCTTAAACTAGTATGTTTGTTTATAACTTTGAAATAAATATGATAGCAATTTAAAAATATAAAAAAATATATATATAAATATATTTTTGAAACGAAAAATAAAACCTTTACTCATCATGAAAATCTATTACTTATGATTTTAATTGTTTACAGCCGTAGGAACTTGTTTTAATTGCTTCCTGCCTAAATATCATTCTTTTGTCTCACGTTGTGGTTGTTGTTGTTAAATTTTTTTTTTTTACAAATTTGTTCATAATAACGTTTTTTTATGTAAAACTTTTCTCTCTCTCTCTCTCACACACACACAAATTTACCAGATTAATTCGGTGTGGAGAAATTTTCAAATTTTCAATTTACAATCAAAGAATTTTTTTAATCTCTTTCGAACCTTATCATTCCCCAACGTGTTTTGTCAGCTTATCAATCATTAAAATAATATTAATAATTTCGTATCGAAATGTTTTATGTTTTGTTGTTGTTTTTATTGAATCCCGTTAAGGCAATAATAAGCAAAAAAAAAATGAATGAATGAATAAGAGTAGGTGTGGTAGTGGAAAGAGTGTGTGGAAGAGAGAGAAAGAGAGAGAGAGAGAGAAAATGAAAAGGCACACTTACTTACTTTGGTCGTAAAATAAATTTAATTAATTAAGTATTTTTCATTAAGTAAAGGATTCTTGGAAAGTAATTAATCGTTTTAAATAAAAACGAGTTACTCCCTAAATAAAATAAAATAAAAAAAGTAGAGACGTGAGACGTGTAGAAAGAGTAGTTTATCCAGAGAAAAAAAAAATAATAATAATGAAAGGAATTTAAAAAAAAAGGAGGAAGGGGAGGGAAGGAGTGGGAAAAAAATAAAATAAAATAACAATTTTCAATAATTTAATATTTTATTTTTATAAGAAACGATAGAATCGCAATTTTGGCGCCGATATTTCTCGAAACACCAAAACTTTTATCGTCGAAAATTTATTTATTTATTTTAAATCCAATCATTTTTACACGAAAATTGTGTTTGTGTTAAATGCTGTTTAAAAAAAAAAAAAAAAAAATTTTTGTTTCAATACGTCATCGTCATCGTCATTAATTAGTACATAACGTAATAAGAAACTAATTTAAAAAAAAAATGTCTTACGTGTATACGTCACGTGCGAAAAAAAAATTTATAAATTAATTTTTTTTTTTTTTAATCGTTTTTCAAACTAAAAATATTTAGGTGTGATAATTTTTTTTTTTTTCACTTGGTTATTAATAATAATAATAATAATAATAGAACCCCCCTCAATTTTTTTTTTTTTTTTT